AAAAAAAAACAAAATTAGAACATCACTTGTTAGTAACCGAATTCGTTACTTCTGCATACTCCTAATAATACTCTTTTTACGATTTCGAAAGTATAGTGAAGATGACAACTAATCGACAAATCTCGGTCGTACAACTAGCTCTTCCTACCTTGATCGTCTGTTCCTTCTGAGTCAATCCTTTTTACGGCTATTGTCTTGTTGTTGTCTCGAATTAGTTGTCCACGATATACTGTGCCATAAGCACCGGAACCAATCTATACTTAAATGAATCAAAGGTTTCGTGCAATTTCTTGCAACACACCTTTTTGAGAAGTCTAACATCGCTATGGACAAGTTGGTATTTTCCTTTTGGAACAGCTTTTTTAAGTAATAGTTCTTCTCCACCTTGTAACACTATCGGTTCTCTTGAATAATGTTCTACCATTTTTTTTAAACTAGGAAATGTTTTGCCCTGCAAAAGAGATTTGAAGCTAGACTAAGAGCAATTCAAACTATTTTATATATAAATAAGAGCGTTTACCCCTAAGCGAATTCCAGTTTCGCCTCTCTTGAGGTCAATTCGCTTTATGGCATCTTTTGTACGAATTGCGATGACCAGCCGCTGCCGAGTTGCACTTGACGAATGTCGCGATTGAACAAGAAAGTCGCCTTCCTCCTATAAATAATAACTTTGAAAAGGCCCAGGTCGCGCTGTTATGTGTAGTGTTCAATTAAGTTTGCAATCATGTCGATATATGCATTAAAACCATGAATAAATGCTGATGCGCCTTCAGCTCGGTGAAGAAACGCAAACCCTCTACCGTAGGTCGCAGCAAGACTCGCGGAGCAAGCTGGGAATTTGTTGTTATTCGTTTCCGTAAGGCCAAACGACCTCGTGTCAAAGTCTGCTCTACCTTAACCATCAACTAGAGACTGGAGAATAGATTAGCAAACGCGATTTGATTGAGGCAGTGATTAATGGGATCACACGCGAGATACCATTCAAATTTACGTTCAGTGCGCAGTATGATTCGTTCTGTCGTAGTGTCTAGTTAGGATCAAATCCTTTTCTTAATTGTAGCCGATAGCTTACTTAGGAAAGCTCAAATTGAAGAAACGATTCAAAGCAAGCGAGGAGTTTTTCAATTTTCTCCGCAATGGTTTCTATTCATCGCTTCCGCAGCCAGTAACCTAGGCAAATATATCGAATCTCACCAACAGTACTAGTTATAGCTGAAGACGTATAAATCGTGCCAGTGCAATCATCAACGTTGGCTCAGAAACTTTTTTCCTTCAAACATTTCATCAAATTGAAAAGAAAGTTCCAAAGTATCGCCAATAAAACGAGATTTCAGCTTAAAATGTTATAGCTTCAAAAAGAGACTAAGCGAAGCAAGAGTAAAGATTTCAAATGAAACGTCATTGTTAGCGTTGAGTTGTGACGCAAAGTAAAGCTGCGCAAATTGGGTTAAACGTTTGTAGAAATTAATTTCTGTACAGAGTTGGAAGGGTGATAGATTAGCTTCAGAGAGGGTATGAGTGCTTAGCATTTTTCGCTGTTTGCATGACATAAGTAGCAGGAGAAGTGGGAGGCTACTGCGCGCCCAGCTGAAAGATGGCGCATAGGTGTTCCCGAGCTCTACTTAGTTCTCCATTCTACCTGTCTATATTATTTTGCGAAAATTGCAACCCAACCGAAGAATTAAACAATAGTTCTTGGTTTTTTCCATGTTTTAACATTATTTTATAAAAGATTGTTAGCTTGTGAATATCACTGGCTAGGAAAAGATTTCAGTAAGCTTTTTCGTAAAAAGACTTTTCAATGAATGAGTAGGTTCAAGAAACAGGGTACTAGAAACCTCACTCTACTTGCGGGAAAATAATCGAAAGGGCTAAATGTACACTAGACTCCAACTCATTTGGTTGTTTGATTCGAGAGCGAGATACTCTGAGTAAGGTGCATCCTAGTGAAAGTTTATAAGATTTTAGGATGTTACAAAGTAGCTTTCGCACCAACTTTTGCAAATATTCAAGTATAAAACTGCAGCAAGCCGACGAACTTCGCCTGGAACTGCTATTTAATTTATTTATCTAGAAGGGCGAACTATACTATACAAAGCTTCTTTATCCTTATGTAACCATCACATGCCATGTGAACGCTGAAACACGAATGAGGTCACGATGCGCAAGATTTTGAAGGTTATTCGATAAGTGCCGGCCATTCAAAAATGAACCGCAAGGACATTCCGAACACAATTTCGCGGCATAACAGCCTCTCCATATTTAATTGTAACATTCGGTCACCTAAGCACTTGAAAGAGCGAGATGTATGGTTTTGCATAGTCGGTGGCCATAATTCTGCTCAAGGTAGTATTGCTTGACTTTGATTAGATTTTCTGGCTCTATCTATCAATCGTAGGCGTCTAAATTAATGCTTACTGATTTATTTGACAGGCTCTGGCAAAAACGATAAGGCAAAATGTTATTGAAAAAATTGTTTGCAATTTGGTGTAAACTCAACAAACCAAACAATACCATTTTCATGCCGAGTTAATAAACAGTAGTCTAGTTAGATATCTTTATCCTTCCACGTTCACGTTAACACTATACATTCTACTAAAGGATAAAAAGATTTGAAAATTCAAAAAGAGTAACTTTCGCGATGACCGATATTCTACAGCGATAATGCAATCCTTCATCTTTAACAAAACTCTTTTTATCAATTACAAAGGAGTGAAAGTTTAATAATGATTTTAAAAATTTTCACCTTATTGACGGCTCCAGATTTCTACAGAAGTTTCTGTTTACACCTCAAAGTATTTTTAGCTGGCCTAATATTATTGACTGTTGTTAGGATACGAGTCTTAAGCAGAGCACGGCAAAAAATGTTCGCAGGTGTAATTGAAAGGTAATCGTATAGATCACTGACTATTGTCAAAGCATAAGTTAAGAAAAGATTGCAACTATTGATTTTAAAATCAATGAGTGAGAAATCTCGTACAACGTCGATTTCATTTTTGTGCGAAACAGTTGGATAAAGTAGATTCAGACGGCATCATTCTGGCAGGCTGTGCGCTTCAAGGCTAGCCCGCGTAAAGCTCCTAGGTCTAATCAAAGGTGCGCCAGCAATCTGCATTTAGAGCGATCTCTTCCAATTACCTTTCACTCGAACGAAGCGTACGTTTTAGGGTCGAGTGAAAGGTAATAAAAGGTAACGCTTTGGTAGACTGGCCCGCTAAAGCTATGCTAGGGAAAGGGAATCAGTAAACCCCTTCTTTCCTATGTTTAGTCTTCCCC